TGTCATTAGATTGAATTTATGCACCCCTGCCCAAATTCTGCTGAACAAAAAATCATGGTGATAACTCTTCTTTAGTTCCCTAACTAGGAGAGCCGAGCTTTCACTTTCTGGCAACATAAATGTTACTTTCCTATGCTCAACGTAGACTTTAATTCAATTCTTCATCATTTTCTCTTCAGAGTGCAGCCATGGTCAGGGAAAGGCATGACATTCCCAGCATTCTCAGGAAGCCACACTTACGCACAGCACTGGCTACATGCAGGGGAGAGCCTCAGAGAGCACTGCCACATACTCACAATTAAAAGTAATGCCACATTCCATAAGGAACAAGGACAGTGAAGCTGATACACCGAGAAAGTTCTATGCCATCACTAGGGAACAGGCCACCCCATTCTATCTAGGTGCGTATTTCAGTAAACAGATGTCTACCCCGTCAAGTGGGAAAACTTCCGATGTTTTTATCACTGTGGATGTATTTTAATTTTTAAAGATAAAGTACATACAAAACTTAAAAGATTAACTGTGACCACATAACCAAACGAAGCCAGCCTTTTCCAGGAAAGCATGTGATTTAAACAATGTTGTTCCTGTTCAAAATACCATCTGGAGTGGTGGTGGGTCTTTATCTTTCTGAAAGTAAATTCAACTTTTAGAAAGCAGCCAAAAATCACTCTGGGCTATGTGCAATAAATAAGGAGGTAAGTAAGCCATAAAATACAATTTTTGGTCAAAAACCAAGGACCCATTATGCAATGCTAAGATTCCTTTAGTGCATGGTTCATAAACTGACTCTAAAGCCACTCAGAAAAGAAGTTTTAAAAACACCACACTCCTCAGTAACAGTGTGTCTGGCAGAAGCTCCAGGCCTTTGCTTGGCTGATCATTTGGCGTAGGTGCCCTTTCCTCACTTCCCTACCCACTTATCCTTCCAGGCTCAGCCCAAATATATCCCTTTTCCTCCAAGAAGCCTTCCCAGATTGCTTCCCCAAGAAATAAGAAGCCTCCCCAGATTTTCCACTCCCCAAGTTAGAACCCTCTCTCCCTTGTGTGCCCACAACACTCAAGCGCCAATGCCCAACCCCCTGCCATTTCAACATCTTTTTATCTTTTCTAGACTCTGAACTTCCTGAGGTCATTTCTTTTTTCTGTACTGGCTCAAAATTCTGCTGTTATAAATTAGTCCCCATTTTACAGTTACATGTCTAATTTCTCTTTTTAACCATTTTTTATCAGTAAGGCATATTATAGCCTTTCAATGAACTGCAGTTTGACAAACATAAAACTTCCCAAAGGAGGAAGCATTCCACGATAACCACAAGAAAAGGGGTAAAATCTTCTAGGCAGTGCTGCTTTGGTCTACCACAAAATGCTTTTTTTAAAACTGATCTTCAAAAAAAAAAAACAGCTGATCTTCCCCCTCCTGTGAACTGTACACGATGATGAAACAACTTTCAAAAACCAAACTTTTAAAATAAAGAGATCAATTTAAAAATCAAATGTTCTGTCTAAACATCAAGCCTCAGGAAAGAAAGAGAAGCACAAGCATCCAGCGGCAGGTAAAACTGGACATCTCCTTGGCAGCTAACTGGCTACTTCTTACTGGAATCACTGCACCCACTTCTTCACAGGCCCTTCCTTCATTCTAGATGGCTGTTTGCAATCTGTCGTGGGCTGGAGAAACCAGATAACAATGTTGTTAAGAACCATCTGTTATAGTAAACAGGCTCCAAGTAAAAGCCCTGTGGCCTCACTTCTGCAGTGAAATGCGTACCTCTAGTACTGGGACTTCTGGGGGACAACTTCTATGCTAAGACATTCTCTCCTTCTTACTCCTGGGCTCTGTGCCAGATGCTGAACTAACAGCCACCCGACAGAGTAAGATGGGACATTTCGCTAGTCAGATAGCGAAACAGATGGAAAAAACTCAACCTACGTAAGTACAGAACAAACACAATTTAGCCTCTGAATGCTGTTTGAAAACTCCAAGAACTACTGCAACAGGTACATAAAAAGGCCCAATTCCCAGGAAGCAGCCGTTCTCAGCAAACACTTGACTACGTGCCTGGGACTCACTGTACTGAACAGTTGTTGACTGAAAGCCGTCGGATGATGGTGTCACTCCAGTGTGACTTTATACTCCATTTCTTTACGAGTCATGATGACAGACTTCCTATAACTGCCCTCAGAAATACAAAGTTTCGCTAAATCTCCCAGTAAAAGCTCATCTCTCCTTCAACAATAAGAAACAGAAAACACCTGCTTCACCTGAGCTGAGGCGCCCAAGGTCCATCTCCGCGTGCGGGGTAAACCGGACTTCCAAGGAGGCCACGGGGGCGTCTCTCACCCAGGCGGGAACCACACTGTGGTGGGCTGCACCGGCCACCCTGGAAGGGCAGGCAAGAGCCTCCGGTGGCATCTCCGCACTGTTGCCTTGTGGGACCATTGCTTTTTCCCCTCTCCTTAGCCTCCTGTCTGCTTGTTCTTCCGAAAAGCTCTTCTCCAGGTGATGTGAGCCACTTTGCTCTTCTGCCATGCTCGGACTCTGACCACTTTCTGATTCAACACCCAAATCTGCTGCTCTCTCCCTGTGCGAAGCAGGGCTTCGCTGGACTTTTGCCGTGCCATCATGTTTCATGTCGTTTTCTCCTGAAGTTCTGTCTTCGGGACATTTGGGTTTCCCCTTGGTACAACTGTAGGGTTGCGGTTCATCATATCTTGAGAGCTGTTGCTGGTAACAGCTGTCAGTCTTGCCATCAGACTGGGACACGGTTTTTGGTTTATGTTGGTTATTCTGTAAATTAAAGTCCCCCAAGGGCTCAGTCAAATTTTGTGGCGAGTCATAATCAGCAATATAGGGCTTTATGTCTAGCACAGGTGTGCCATGGATCATGTCAATTCCAGAAAGGTACAAGGCTCCACCTGTAACGTGAAATATTAACAATGAAGAACAGTGTAAACAACTGGAGAATCAACACTATCTGCTTAAGCCTCACCAAGCTTACTCACAATTCTCTTACACACCAGGCTCTCTTATACCTGGTGCAGGAATACACTTTTCTCTCTACCTAGAAACCTGTCCTCTTCTTTACCTGTCAAACTCCAACTTACTCTTCAAGGCTCTCATGTGACATCTTTTTTACAAAGCCTTTCTGACTCTTCCAGACATAAGTATTCTTTCCTCTGGCTTCCATGAAGGAACCTGTGCCCAAACCTCTTCTGGAGCCTTGTCACGTGGTCTGGCAGTGACCTGCTTAGAGACTCTCTTCCTAGACAGTAAGTAGGACCTTGAACAGAGGTGAGGCCAATGTGCCTTTGCATCCCTGGGGCTTCTAACTCTGTTCCAGGCACATCAGGGACTCAACATATCTCCGTGAGACTGACGAAGGTTTCCACTGTGGCAAACAGATCTGAGGTGACCCCACGAGGCTCACCTCCTGGCATTTAATCCCCTCTTCTTAAGCATGACTTGATACCACTCCATTGACCACGTTGTGTTATCTAAGACTGTGTTTGCTGGCAGACTCACTTGAGAGATTCTCCTTGGGCATCTGACAAAGCAAGAAGCCATGCTGGGAAAGCGCACGAGGCAAGGCACTGCAAGCAGCCTCTAGGAGCTGGGGGTGGCTTCCAGGAGCTGGGGACAGCCACTACCCAACAACTAGCAAGAGGCTAAGAGCCTCCGAACCACAACTGTAAGAAAGTGAATCCTGCCAACCACCAGAGTGAGCTGGGAAGTACATTCTCCCACAGCCAAACCTCCAGAACAGAAGTCATCCCAGCTGACACCTTAACTGCAGCTCAGTGATACCCAAGTGGAGGACCCAGCTAAGCTGTGCCCATACTCTTGACTCACAGAAACATAATAATGTTTTAAACACAAAATAAATGTGTGTTGTTTAAACCAAGTGCATGGTAATTTGTTACACAGCAAGAAGAATCTAATACTCCATCAAGACAAATAACTAAGCAGAATGTAAGTCACCATTACTAAATACTAAGGACAGGGCCCCTGTTGTCCCACTTACAGAGCTACAGTCAGTTCCTTCTACTGGTATAGAGTCTCCTAACTTGACCCTTGGGAAACTGGCCAAATGAGAAATCAAAAAACCACATGTGATCACATTTGACCCTATCTCCATTTAAGAAAAACATGACTAACAAAGGACTCTGATCTCTAAAACATGCCTACTATGAATGAACCTGGAACTTCAGGAAGAAGATTTTGGACTTTCTAAATGACAGATTATGCTCAACAACGCCTGCAGGAGAAAGAAAGGCAATGGCGCACAGGGGAGAGTTCACGGGATTTGGAGTCAAGATAAACCCTTGGCTGAATGCTACCGGGCAAATTATCAAACATCTAAGAGCCTCAGTGACTTTACCCAAAACACGGAGACTGCTACCTGTCAAACCCAGGAGCCACTATGAGATACTGTACATGAACACTCTTTGTAAACCAGAAAGCACCACACAAGCACTGGTTATTACCGTAATGCTTATTTATAAGTGTCCACAGGGCTAGTGTGCTTACCTTTCACCTTTCTGATTTGATTTCCCCCCCAGCAATGCTAAGCTCATCTGTAGGGCAGGGATTTTTATCCAATTTGCTTGCCACTATATCCTCAGCACCTAGAACACTGCTTGGCACATATTCAGCACTCAGAAAGCATGTATGGGTTGCACAAATGATCACAAAACGTTCCAGTCCTGTTACCTAGATTGGTTAGCCATCACAAATTGATAAAACTCAAGTTGGACTGGCTACAAAAATTTTTCTGGAAAACCTACCCAACGCCCAGCAGGGGAGTTCAAGATCTGGGAAAGAACAAGCAAAGTAACCGCTCTCATCTTTTTTAGCACCTGGTAGCCTGAAAAGCCACCTTACAGCTTTTGTCTCATAAGATCCTCAGAAAAATCCCATGGAGTGCCAGAGAAGGCAGATCCTTCTTCTTTGCCCACTTTACAAACAAGCAAGCTGAAGCCTGGAATGGTGTCCTGATTCCTATCTACCTGCCATTTCATCTTCTGCCTCTCTAACAAATGTGCTGATTAGGTCAGAGGAGTTCAAGAAAGAGATGCTTTCTAAAAAATATGGCTCATTAGCTAGTTTATGTGTGAACATGTAGTTAAAATTAATCTGGTATTCTACACAGGTTCTTCCACAGTCTGACAGATGTTCAGTCTATGGCGTATTCATCCCAGACCCTCTGGCGCATGTCACAGTGCACGGCGGCACTGCAGCCACGATGCATGGCCATGTCCTCAGGGCTGCGAGGAAGAAAACACAGCACTGCCTGATGCTGATCATATAAACACGTGCAACAGGTACTGTGTGTTAAATTTTGAAAGTGTCTGATTATTTTTGGATCATTTTGTATTTATTACATTCCCAGTCAGAGAAAACTTGGTTACTAATTTAATGATTACGAAATCTTAAGAGACATTTTTAGATAATTTACAAACTTCTGATAAATGCAATGACTTAAAACTCTGAGCATCCTATGAAAGCTTATTTCAAAGTGTTCCAATGTTAACACTTTTTTAATCATTTCGTTTTCTTCAACGTCTGGTGGTTCTCAGGGGCTAACACCAGTGGCACTTGTCTGAATAACAACCAGTGCTGAGTACTATGTTGATTTTATAAGGCTTCTTTTGGTGAAGGAAAAAAAAGGTCAAAGTAGAAATTACCTTCTACCTTTTCCAGTTTGGCCAGCGTCAGTCCTATTGCATTGGGACGATGTGGGCTCCTGGTGGAGAAAACGCCAGTCTTCACACCATTCAGCCTGGGAGGCTGCACTTTTGCCTTACAGCTCAAATGACCATTTTTGTGAAAAACAAACAAAATCCTATTGAAAATAAACCAAACCACTGAGTTAGAAAAGAACACAAGTTAATCTATCATAATGACTTGAGGGGGAAAAAAACTTTAATAGCCACAGAAAGAATGCTTTTAATGGGAGTAAAACGTAATCAGTAGAGGAAAAAAAGAATAATACCATTCCTGTTTCTTGATGGAAGACAGAGTCTTAACTCTATACCCACTGCCCCAACACAATGACTGGTACACGGTAGGAACTTGAGACACTTGTCAAGTATCTGAATAAACAGTATTTACTAAGTAAGTGCCTGCAATGTGCCAGGCAGTGTGCTAGACATTTTTATACTCATCTCATTTAATCCTCTTAACAACCCTAAGGAGTATGATTTATCTTCCATTTTAAGAATGAGGACATTGAGCCTCAGAAGTGTTAAATGATTTCGCTAGGCCTCCCTACACAAGGTACAAAAAGAATTCATGAAGAAAAACAGTAACAGATTTGAATTCATTAAATCATTAAAATTGTGTGCTATAAAATGTCATCCCAGGAGAATAGGTTTGCTACATGTACAACAGACAGTGGGTTAACATCTGTGGTAGATGAATGGTTCCTACAAATCACAACGTAAAAGAGAACTTGATATGGGAAACCAAGCAAAGAAAATGAATAGGTAATCATGGTACCTCCATATTTTGTAATAACAGGCAGCTATCAAAGCAAACAAGGTAAATCTGTAAGTACCGTCATGATATATACTAAGAGGACAAAACATACTCCATTTATTAAAACAAACACCCACTTTATATGTATATATTTAGGTTTCTATGTGTATTGAAAAAGGAAAAGAAAAAAAGAAAAGGTCTGGCAGGATACCCACCAAGCTGTTAACAGTGATAATCTCTGAAGAGTGTTAGGGCGGGTGGGGACAAGAAAGGAGAAAAACAGGAGGAATAAGGAAAAATCTCTTTATATACTTCAGAGTCCCAGAGTCCATTTTTTATAACAGCAGTGTTTTTAACGTAAGTAATTCAACCAAGATCATATACGCTAGGTCAGAATACCCATGTTCTTTCTACTCTACCCATATCCCCAAATTAACATGAAAAATAAACTATTTCAGAGTAAACAGTTACTTTTAGATCTTCGTTAGTACAATCAGACCAATTCAGACCGCTGATGTTGGGGTGATGAAAATGGATAGAGACAGAATTCCAAGTGACAGCAACCAACACGACTACCATGCAGACTCTAATATAGGCAACACTACGTATCTAGATTTCTAAGGTCTCTTCTGTCATTTAGGAAGAGGAGACTTAATGCTTCATGAGTCTAGAGCAGGGTCCACAAACTTTTCCTGTAAAGGGCCAGACAGTAAGTATTTTAGGGTTTGAAGGTCAACCAGTCTCTGCTGTAACTAGTCACCTCTGCTGCTGCAGCACAAAAGCAGCCACAGATAACACATCAAGGAATGCACACACGTGGCTGTGTTCCTGTAAACTTATTTACGAAAGCAGAAGGTGGGAAGGGTTTGGTCCATGGGCCACAGCTTGCTGACCCCTGGTCTAGAAGACAGAATGAGGACCCATGGACAGTATTGAGAAGTCTACAGATTTCAGCTCAACAGAAGGCATTCATCACAATCAGAACCAAGTGTGAATAGAATGTGCCCTCGCAGTGGATCCCAAGCTTCCCCGAGGGCGTCCAAGTTACGCAGACAATCACATGCACAACACAGTCCAGGAATCCCATGCAACAGGCAATGGTGGTCTAGATAGCAGTCTCCAACATTGCCTCCAACTGGAGTACTTTACTCAGGCACAAGTTCTGGGCCAAATATCATTTCTAACTAGAAAACAACTTACCAAACATGAGAAAACTGTTCTAAACCCATCAAGGAATGTTCAGGATTATTAAAGATGCTTTTTCTAATCCTCAAACAAGCCCGTGAATGGCTACAAATGGATGGCTGCCTTGGAGTACCATTCTTGGCTGAGAAACAGGATTCCAAGTAACCAATTGGTTCAGTTAAAAGATTCCCTACAAAAGAAAATTAGTTAAGAAATCATTAGTCAAAAGGTCAAGCAAAGATGTAGGAAAACATGTTTTCTTTAATGCACTGATTTCATAGTTTTAAAATCTACTAGGTGTTATGCAATTATAAAACATGATTCTTATAGTATTTATAAATACATATAAATATGCTCATCATTACATACGCATTGTTATATCCCATTAGATAATAAGCTGCAAAGAGCATAGGTCTAAGAAAGAATGGAAAGAAGAAGGCATCTTTAGAAGACCCACTATGACCGTAACTCAAATTCTACGCTATCACTGCTATGTTATGTGACGTTGGTCAGCGCTAAGAGGGTATTTCATATAGAGGGAATAACATGCACAAAGTTAAATGAGAAATGTTATAGCATAAGCAGGGAACAAGCTATTTTAATTGGCTAGAGTGTGAAATACAAGGCAAAGAATAATGAAAGATAAGGGGATGGGGGTTGTATGTAAGTAAAGATGCTTTCAATTGAAAACAACTGAACACATGAAACAAACTAGTTGAATTAAGCAATAAAGGGAGTGCATGGATCACAGTACTAAAATATCTAGAGGCAGGTTAGATTTCAGATTAGTCTTGCTCCAGCAGCCCTCTGCCCCACTAGTATGTAAGCTCCACATGGGCAGGAGTTTTACTATCTTATCTACTGCTATATTCTCATCGTCAGTACATGCCTACAAGAGGAGTAAGTACTTTAAAAATTCATGTTGCATGAGAAAAAGGATTATGTAAATCTTAGCTGATTAAAATGGAAAGTGAAAGAAGAATATATATAACATAATCCTATTTATGAAAATTGTATATATTTACCTATCTAAGTATATATAAATATATGTCTAGAAAGCTGTCTGGAAGGATATTCACCAAAAATGTTAATAGTGGTTAACATCGGCTGAGAGATTCTTGGATTATTTTTATACTTAACTTTGTAATTTCTACAACATTTGAAATTTTGGCAATAATTACAAATCACTTCTTAAAATGTTTTTAAAGCAGTAACGCCTTTCAAAAGAAGAAAAAAGTACCCAGGCAGCATCAGTATAGGTTTTAAAGTCCAAGATATCCACAACCACCATTTTGAATTTATAGATTACTTTTTTTTCACATTTCATGAAGGCTCTCATTTTATTTCCAGCTTCCATTAAGTCTGTCCTACCAGCACAGGCAGTAAGAATATAGCCCTGGAGAAGTCCATCACAGCACTCTTCATTACTTTTCACTTGTAAAAACTATATTATGTGAGACATATAAAATATTACATGTAACACATATATAGTAAAGCATATTAAAATGAACTGTGTACCACCACCCAGCCCAAGAATTAGTGCTTTATCAACAATTTGCATCTTTTTATGTTACCTCTTTCCCTACCTTGACCCTTGAGATAGACAAGTGCGGCCTAGCTCATTCACTTCTTGAATGAATGTAGTCTTTAGCATTCACTTCTTTTTTTTAAATGATTTTATCACATGCATATGCATGCAAAAACAATGTTTCATTTATCTTGCCTTTGAGTTCTATAAAAACTGGTATCAAATGTATGTTATCTTTTCAGATTTGCTTTCTTTCTCTCAATATTAAGATTCTAAGATCCATCAGTACCGTGTACATTTTTGAGGACTTTAAATTTTTTGTCAATTATGTTTACAGGCATTCTTTTTTTTAATTTTCAGCTGTGCCCTGTGGAATCAATACAGTAAACAATTTTCTGCTGTTCATAAAAAATGTCATGAAGGAAAATGGCCAAAAATCAGTTGGGATCCCTGTGTCTTATTTCATTTGTTTAACAAACACTTTATAACTGTCTCCAATTGCCAGACACTGCTAAGTTTGGGGAAAAGATACAAAACAAGAATCTTATCACAGTGGAGTCAACAGTTGGTTGAGAGAATCTTACATTAGCTGCAATATCATGGGAAATGTCATATCTGAAGTAATGATCAAAGACTCCTGCCCTTGACTGGGGGCCTACAAGTGTGTAACTAACTTGAGCTACCACTTCATTGAATTAGTCTTTACCTGTTTTTCGCAGGTTACACAGATGCTATGATAAATGTAAGTAGTAACCAATTAGATCGATTCCAACCTCTTTGTGCATCTTTACTAGAGCATAAGCAAGGTAACACCAGGTAAGCAATGAACTGAAAGCATACTCATGAGCCATGTTGTAAGGAGTCCCTCAACTATGTCACTCTCAAAATGTTTGGGACTATTCCCTACATATCAAATATCCATCTAATAACCTGGTGGGAACTTATCATATTCTAATACATCTGAACCCTCTGAAACTTATTTATATATTCTCTGTGCCCCATTGTTGGAATAACTGCTAAGAAATATAAATGCTCAATAATTTCCAAATATAAATTCTGCTTGAACGCTCTACTTGAAGTGGAGACCTGAGAAGGCACACCCAAGAGGATCCTGATCTTCTTCCTCTCGCCTCATATCTCAGAAAACAAACCAACAAACAAAAACATTAAGCACCTGCCATTTGGTAAGCACTGTGCTAGGTGCCTGGGTATAGGCATAAACAAGGACCAGTTTTCACCCTCAAGGTGTCCAGTATATTGACAGAGTAGACAAGTAAATCAACAATTAAATCGAATTACCTTACATTCAGGATAGGGATAAGCCCAGGTATGCCAGAGTAGTACCGGCATGAGAATTATATGGAGAGGCAGAAGAGGTTCCCCGAGGACTATGGCCAGTATGAAAAAAGGACAAAACAACACAGGGCCACTACACTAGTTGTGTGACCTTGGGCAAAACTGCTTACCTCTCTGGATCTGTTTTCTCTGTTATAAAATAAGGATAAAAATACCTATCTTGGAAAGTTACAAAATTACTAAAATATGTAAGACACGTAGTACAACAGAAAGTGCTCAACAAGAAGAGGTTTTTAAAGCCCTTGCTCAGGCTTTTCCCTTATTTTAACAATATTACAACCGTATTAACTGTGTAATTTTTTTAAAAAACCAACGAATTATTAATGCAGAGTTTTTTGTACACAAGGCTTATCAACAAGTCTTGTGCAGACAGAAAAATTCAGGTCCTTTTAACCTCTTGCCCGGACTATTAAATTACTCTTGTTATAATTCGACTCCCCTTAGCCAGTCCCTCTCTTCCTCAAAACACACTACACCAATCCTCCAGATTCTGAGCTCCTATGTCATGCTCCTCTCTAAACTTTCTATGTTCCCCACTATTAACAGATGTCCTATTTCTTAGCCTGCTATCCAAGGCTCTCTATCCAATCAACAGTTCCGACGCCTCCCTTTTCCATCGAATACTTGGTACTTATAGTCAGAATCTCATACTCTTTAACAGGCACAAATTTTGCCCAGGTAACAATACTTTCGGGAAATTTTTAAAACATACACAAAGATTTTAGTTTCAAGAACTTTCATTTATAACAGTGAAAACCAGCAATAACCTAAGCCTCAAAATAGGGAACTGGTTAAATAAGTTAGAGCACATCTATAAAACAATACAGTGCACAATCACTTAAAATTAACATTAACTGCTGTGAAAAGATTTTTATGAACCTTAAGGGTTTTTTAAGGTTATAAGGCAGTGAAGTCGCATATTAACTCATATTTCTAGTGTGTATGCACTAAAACACGTATGGAATGTAGGCAGTAAGATATTAACAGTGGTTTTCTCTGCGTGATGGCCGACCATTTTAATCTTCCCATTTGCTTCCTCTAATTTCTAAAGTTAATATACTCTGCTCTACAAATAGGGGCGAAAATAGAGAAAAAAACTCATGTCCATCTGTCCAGGCCCAGTTTA